TTTCCACCTATGCAAAATGTAGGGAGAGGCTAGGACCAGTGGGGAATGGGAAATATATGCATATGCATAGAAGCAGTTGTACACAGGGAACCCAGTTACTCAGAAATCCCTGAACCTCGGCTCCAACAGGGCAGACACCATTCCTTCTGTTTTCTTGTTAGCCTGCTGGCGCCCAGGACCACATGGGGCCACTTCCAAACAAGGCTGCCTGCACAGAGCAGGCCCTGAAGCACAAAGGTTTACACTGAAATGTACTTGGCTTGGGACCATGTCATCTCAATATCCTTAAGGAGAAGCGTTATAAACACAAGGCCAAGGCCCTGGACACTTAGCAGGGTTGGGAGAGCTGTTAATACCAAGTTTGTCTATGGCTGCTCTGGGAAGCTGGCCAGGCCCAGGTTAGTGAAATTCCACGAGCCCGAATTGGGAATCTTCACGCAAGCACAAGCCTCCCAGACTTCTAGGGCAGTTTTGTCTGTGCGAGGAATGCAGGATGGTGCAGAGCAAAGGCACCAGCTCCAGCATGTGGCCTGAAACGCTTACGTCTGGGCCAGCGGCATCGCCTATTAGCAGACAGTGCCTTCAATGGACATCCAGGAGAGAGCAGGAGCAGACTTGCAAGTCGGGAAAAATTCTCAAATGGGAAATTAGGCTTTTAAAAGATTCTGTTGTTACGTTTGTTTTTTTTCCTCCAAAATTAAAAGCAAAGCCAACAGTCTATGTGAGGTACAAACAGGTTTAAACATAAAAGACCACAGGCCAGATTGCCCCGTGATACTCTGAAAGACATGCAGGATCGCTTCTGGCTAGGACTTGGGGGCAGAAGTAACCACAGTCCAGGTCAGAAAGTCCTGGGTGGGTGAGAGCAGGGGCAGGAATGGGGTGGAGACTGAGATGGACTCTCCACGACTTCCCCGTAGTCCTCCTCCCTTTTTCCTGCAGGGGGCAGCAGAGGCCTGGACAGTCTTCAGCCCTGGGTGGGTCTCTCACAGGCTTGGTGGTTTCCTCTATGTGAGGGGAGAGCAGAGCAATGACAGTGGGGGGGGGGGGGGGGCTGTGCTTGCTTGGTCTCCAGCTGTATTCCCTGCCTACAGTGTCTGTCTTGTTCCTGTTTCCAGAGGGAAGTTGAATCCCTGGACTTCCTTCAGGCTGTTCTTGCTCTCCCCACGCCATACAGCACACTTGCAGGCACAAGCTAGGACAAAGCAGCCTGGGTCTCCATGCGCTGGCTAGGCCACTTAGTTTCCAGTCTTGTCTTCATCTGCCACTGAGGGAGCAAAGACTCTGACAACAGCAGGCTTCAACAGTTGGAATAATTGGGTGGGGAGTGGGGGTGGGGGTGGGTTTCCTCCACACAGGTACTCATTTCTGATTTACTTGGGCCATGGGGACGAGAGATTGTTTGCTTTACACAGCTGTTTTGAGGCCCACACTGTTATTGATAATGTGCATGGCATGTCTTCCTACCCCATGGGCTTCTCTGCCAGCAGCCTCACTTAGCATGTCCTTATCTTAGCTACAGTAGCCAAACTGCCCATCAAATCACCACTCTTATTATTAGGGTGATAGCGGTCCTCTGATTGGCAGGTGCTGAATCTGAAAGGGACCAATCAAGGAGCAGCCCTCAGGCTCATGGGAACTTACTTGATCAGGAAAGAGGGACAGAGGCAGACAGGAAGAGCTTCTCCCAACCTAGAGAACGTTCTGGTAGGAAGAACTGGCTGTGGGAGCAGCTGGAGGGGAATGACGAGCTTCTAGGGCCATGGAAGGTATTGCCAGCGGTCGGAGAAAGCACAGTGGCTGCACACACTTCTCACGCTGCTGCAGCTGCCACCGCTACTTCCTGTGTCCGGAGTCACTTCTCCCTGTCCTGTCTCCAGCCCAGGCCCCGCTCTCCAGCCATTCCACTCCTCATACACCTCGCGGAGCTCTTCGGACGCCCATCAAGAAGTGCTCTCTCTGGTCAGCCACGGGGTGAGGGTAGACCTTGTGCAGGCTTCTGGGTCCTGGCCCTTCCCAGAGGCTCTCTACACCCATGTCTTTAGGCTGCCCTCACTCATCCAAGGTCCCATGTTTGCTCCAAACTCCAGACTCTTGCACGGAGGTAGGGAAAGAAAGGAGGAAGGTATAGGGCCAGCCCTTACGTATAACAAATGATAAAAAGCATTTGGGGACGACCCTCTGGGCGCAGACCTCGATCACTCAATGGCTTGGAAAAATCACGTTTTCTATTGACTAAGAATCTTCATCCAAAACTGGAGCTAAGTAAAGCAAGGCCAGTGTGTCCGACACCGGGATGAGTCATTTAGTACACACATCGACTACACCATGGAGGTGCTCCTATCACCCCCACTCTACACACACACACACACACACACACACACACACACACACACACCCCTCCATTTGGATTATCACCGATTCTATGAAGGGCAAAGCAGATGGGTCTAACAGCGCTTTGGAACAATACCTTCTCTGTGCATAATTTCTGTTGGCCATCATTCAATTCCTATAGTCAACAAGGGCGTCCACTGTGTATTGGGTGGGGCTGAGAATCAGAATAGCCTCCAGGCAAAAAGACTGTTTTTTAGCCTTTGCCTCTTCCATCTGTTAGGTAGGGTCATCTCCCAGAAGAGACCGTTTTCTTCCTCTACCCATTTTAAATGCTCAGAACCTTCCAGTTGTCTTAACTCAGGAACAACCAAGACGTGTCCTCACCTTAAGGTTTTGGTGGCTCAATGTCCCAGCAAATTGCTACAATTGTTACCAAGATGATAGGTGTCTCAAGGTGTCCTTGATTGGTAGGTGCCCGTATCTGAAAGGGGTCTATCAGAGAGCAGCTCCTGTGCCCACCTGGAACTTGTCATTTTGGTGTAGAACAATGATGAGAGAGAGACAGAGACAGAGACAGAGAGTTTGTGTGAGAGGCAGACAGACAGACAGACAGACAGGAGCAGATACCGCAGGAAATAAGGACGATCACTCTGAAAGTAGTGACAACTGAACACAGGGGCTGCTGCTCAAAACTGCCATTGACACCTTTAACATGAAGTCCGTAGAAGCAGGGCACGACCTCCATTTTCACAGAAACTCCCACGGCAAGCTCTTCCCACCTTATGACAAACATCCGTCAGAAGCTACAGGTCAGAACCCATGGTGGTTCACCTTGTACCTATGAGGCTGAGGCAGGAGGACGGCCTTGACTGAGTTTGAAGTCAACCTAGGCTACAGAGTATAACTTTGTTTCAAAAAAAAATACATATTGGCTGGGTGGCAGTGGCTCAGGCCTTTAATCCCAGCACTTGGGAGGCAGAGGCAGGCCTGTGATCTCTGTGAGTTCGAGGCCAGCCTGGTCTACAGAGCGAGTTCCAGGACAGGCTCCAAAACTACACAGGAAAAGCCAGTTTAGATAAAACAAAAACATACTTTTTTTTTTAAAAAAAAAAAAGTGTTAAATTCTTTGGAACCATAAATGTAAAAGTGGTTAAGATAGAAAACCTTATATATTTTGAAAAGAAAATTAAAAATCAAACGGAATAAAAGAAGCCTTGGGCCCCAAATTTCTGTTCTTTACGTCGTGCACGGATGAGGAAAACTATGAGCCATGGCAACTTCTTTTTAGACTCACAGGGCTACCTGGGATCACATAAACATATTTTTTAATATTTAAATATTTGAGGTAGTGACCATCAACCAGCAATTGAAGGTTTCACCTTCACATCCAAATTTCAATTTCACATCCAAATTTCTTCCTTCCCTGGACAATAAAAGCTGCCTGCCATGTGGAGCCATGTTGCTGGAGCCAAACAGATAGGTAGAGGCGTCTTTAGGTTGCCGTGGTCCTCACTACTCTGTGTAGTCTCTCTTACACAGTAGGAGTCTATAGTAATGGTCGTCTGCCACTTGCTTAAGTTTCCCTTAACTACTTGACACGCTCACACTGTCTAGACATTAGATTGCTGTAGATATCGGGGTTCATATAGATATCTGGGTTGTGTGGTATTTATATTTTCAATGTTTGATTAAGAGTGGCCGAAGTTTCTTTCTCTCTCCCATTAATGGAATGTAAGACAACGAAAAGCTGGCTAAGTTGGGGGCTCCTCGATGATTTTGGAGGCTCACTGGACTACCTTGGGTAGGTAGAATGCTCAAGGCGAGGGAACTAGCAATTCAGTTGGCTCTTCCTTCCATCTCTGGAACCTTCCAGCTCTTCCAGGTCTGCTGGGTGAGCCAGGAGGGGTGGAAAGAAGAAAGTAACCTATGGATCCCTGCACCAGCTCCTGAACAGACCAAGTCCCCACCGGTCTACGGCCTTTGTGGACCAGGTTGCTCCTTGGGGCTTCCCATTCACCTCCTAAGTCTGGCCTGTTACCCTGACTTCTGCTTCCTGAACTGACTCCCACACCCTTCCAACACTGATTTCTGTCATCCTGGAATCAATGTTAGTCACGATGACTTTTGCCTGATCTCTTGAAATACACCTGTATTCGGTATAGGCTACACACCATTTCTGAATAGCTTGGTCCCATCAAAATCACTAGAATGTGTTTCCTGTCACACACAGGAGGCCAGGATGGTGGAGCGGAGAATCCCCAAATCTCATGTTCTAACTCTCCTGCCAAGATAAGAAACTGCATATTGAGTGGCAGCTTCCTTTTGAAATCCTGACACTGTGTACATTTACCCAGGTTGAAAGGCCTGCCAAGTGAGTTTGGAGTTCAGAGCTGTCACCCCATAGCTCAACAGCCCCGATAGCTCAACAGTGGTCGCCTTGGAAAAGCAGAGAGGTCCCTATCGGCTGCCTGTGCATGAATTCCCATTGCTCAGAGTGGTGTTTTGGATGAAAGGTGACATCCTGAAAGGTTAAAGGACAGATAGAGGAAAGCCCAGGGAAGCTGCACGGCAGCTGAGCCACAGGGCAGAGGGTTCACGCCACAGCCTCACCCACCAGTGACACACGCCCAAGCCACTTGCGTCGGAGGGAGGGGGTCTGGTCTCACCGTAGAGCTCCTGCCTCCCAGAAGCAACGGCAGCCCGGGCAATAGAGTGTGCAGAGTCTGCAGCCTCCTCTGGGGAAGGTGTTTTACTCAGGACGATGAGATGTGCCTGTCACCACAGAGAGAAGAAACAAGTTGATTACATGCTTGGCAGCAGCAATAGGAAACCATCCTTGCAGTGATAAGCAGGAAGCCAAGGAACTTTCCAGCACGCTGGAAGGGATGACTGATGAAGAAGTGCAATTGACTTTTGGGAATTTGAAACGCATTGGGTGGAGGCCAGAACCCTGGATGCAGAATTCACTTGGCTAGATAACGCAGCGGGAGACAATCTCCGAAATAAATCCTTCAAAAGTTTATGGTCATTTGACTCAGCAAAGATGACCAAGGTGTGGGTGTGGGGGCGGGGCAGGGAGGTCTCAAGAAGTGAAAATTTCTAATGAGGTGCACAGGAAGCAGGCAAGCCCAGCTCCTGGCCTACTGCTCAGCCACAATGTTGATCCTTTTGCAGAGGGGCAGCCTGCTCTCAGAACCCCAAGCCCCCCTGCCTGCACCCTCTGCAAGAGGCCCACAGGGAGCTGCTTAGTTCCTTTGTAATAAAGTTAATTTTAAAATCACTCAATAGAAAAAAAAATGGTATTGCATAAACACAATAATAAAAGTCTTTTCAAATAAAATATCAAACATAACCCTTCAAAGAAAATGTTACTAGTCATCTCCCTGTCAACATTTCAAATCGAAAAAAAAAAAAAAATTGGGCCAGAAAGAAGGCCCAGTGGTCAAGAGCACATACTGTTCTTGCAGAGAGCCAGAGTTGATTCCCAGCACAGACATCAGGCAGCTCACAGGTGATCTCACACACAGTCACACACACTTGTGTAGGAAGGAGAGCGGAGGTCTGCTCTCACCCGTGTGTTTTGCACAGAGACGCACACACACAAATAAGTAACCATTAAAATTGAAAAAGACTGTGAGTACGATGTTTACATCCCTCCGATAATCACTTGAGGAATGCCTACTGGGCAAGCTGCGGACAGTCATGGGAAGCTGGGCTAAATGATCTGATATGATGTGCTCGTTCAGGACGGTGGGCAGCCTGGGGTATTGCCAAAGAGCGCGTGTTCATGACTTTTCTTACTCTTATGAGAAAATAACGGACACAAGCAGCTTACCCCAGCTCACGTGACAGTGGATACGTCATGGGAGGGGTGGTGACAGGAGTGACGGCCTATTGGTCACACTGTGCTTCCCTTATGAAGAAAGAAGGGCGCTGGTACTACTCGGGTTTTCTCCTTTCCCCTTTTTCTCGGCCTGGGACCCTATTGCGTGGGAGGAGCCAACCACTTGAAGATGGGTCTTCCTGCTCTCTCCACTTCCTCTCTGGAGACATGAGACCCCCTCATAGACTTGCCCAGAGGTGTATCTGTTAGGAGTCTAAATCCAGCCATGTTAGCAGTGAAGATTAAACCTCAAGGAGTGACACAGAGAGGAAAACACCAGACTGGGCATGCAGAATGGGACAAAAAGCACTGAGATTTAAGCTGTACTTTAGTTTTCATTTGCAATGCAACGCTTACTTCGGGGATACTTTCTATGATCTCCACTTTACGTATGAAAATAGAGTGTTGAATGGGTCTGAAATATTCCCCAGAGGTGCCTGTGTTGAAGGCTTGGTTTCCAGCTGGGTGCTCTGAGGTGTGCTGGAACTGTTAAAGAAGCTGGGCCTGGTGGGAGATTTGGGGCCATTAGAAGTGTGTTCTGAGAGGGGTTATGGGACTGTAGGGTCTTTCTTGGTTTTTCTGGCCACCATGAAGTGAGCATCATGAACTCCAACCTTCAAAACGGTGATCCAAATAAACTTGTCTTCTTGTTTGGGTGGGCAGTCTTCAGTGTGGGTTACAGTACTGGCACACTGATAGGGTAAATGGTCCAGGTATCTCACAGTAAAGAATGGAGGTAAGCTCTGGCTTTGATATGCAGACTTCAAATTCTGCTTTTGTACTATGTCCTGAATGTTGCTATGCATCCATCAGCCATGGTGTGAGACAAGGCCAACTGATGCCAGCACATGGGCAGGAGCAATGGCTGACGAGAGCTCTGAAGTCATCTCAGTAGGGTCTTCTGGTCTGCATCAAGCTGCACGCCCATCTCTGAATGTGTCTCCATGATTACAGTCAAGGAGAGGTAGTATTGCAATGCTACGCCATCTCATTTGTTAAAATCCGAGCTGCTGAAGCTTGGACTTGCTTGCCCCAGCTACCCCTGCTGGCATTGTTGGAAGACCCAGAGTTCTTAAGCAGAAAGGCTTGGATATAAAGCAACCTTGCTCACTACTAGAATTCTTGTGAAAGAATTGAACAAGGGAACTGAGGAAGCCCAGAGTAGTCACTAGTTTCAAATGGGTACCAAGAAAAACCTGTTCTAAAACTCTGATTTGCAATACTACTGAACTAATAGCTATTTCAAAACAGTTTCATAGACTGCCATTCAGACCACAGGGCTGAAGGGTGGAATCAAGTTATCAAGGGTTCGGTGTTTGCAGAAAGAAAAGAAAGAGTAAAACTGCCCCCCAAAGAAAAACACCATGTGGGCAGACTGTGCCTCCCCTGGCCATTTACCCCCATGGCCCACTGCCGGAGAGGCCTCTGCAGGATGCTCAGGAAGGCTTTCCGGGGCTCTTCACAGAGACTCAACACACCAACATGTGCTGTTTCCGACTGAATAAAACTTAAATTCCAAGATTTTCTGTTTCCTTTCTATTGCTGTCACAATGCAGGGAAAGGTAATAAATTTGCCGATCACAATTATTTTCAAATGAATAATTACATGTTCTGAAAGGATCACAAGCTGCTTCTTGCTTGGAGGCTGAAAGTGACACCTTCCAGTAGTAAAAGAACACCACCACCTAACACCCACTTACGATATCAGGAAAACGGGTCCCCAAGGCTCAAGGCACTGGTTCTCAACCTCCTGATGCTGTGACCCTTTAATACAGTTCCTCACGTTGTGGCGACCCCAACCATAAAATTATCTTCTTTACTACTTCATAACTGTAATTTTGCTACTGTTGTGAATCACAATGTAAATATATGATACTCGGGATATCTGACACGCGACCTCTGTGACAGGGTCCTTCAACCTCACTGGGGTGGTGAGCCACAGGTTGAAAATCACTGGTTTAGGGGCTCTGAATTCATCACACGATTGTCCTGACCGCAATGCTTTCCTGCGTGAGAGGCTGATACTGTACAAGCAAACATTGATCATATATTTCATAAGTTCATATTTCTCATCAAATTTATTACTCAGTGTTCAGGAAGCTTTTTAAAACCACATGCTGGAGGGAGGGAGGAGTGGTGCAGAACACCCAGGGTGTTTAAAATGTGTCAAATTAGCATCTCATTTATTCAGTAAAAATTCCATTCATTTTGGCTTAGTTTAATTTATTCCTATTTGGCTCAGTGTTATTTTAATTTGGAAGTGGTTTCTACTTGCCAGATATTGTGCTAACACTAGTTCACACACAAAAATATCAAGCTGGTTTCAGTTCTAAAGGAGATCACAGATGAACCACCAAAATGTGGGGTGCCTGGATTGTGTAGACATACAGACGCGTCTTACTATGTTTTTGCACTTAGCTAACTTTCTCTCTGTGTCCCAACTTTTATAACTTTTAGTGGATACTGAAGGGTGAGAAAAGATGGTATCTGTATACAGGTTAACCAATAGAATGATCTTGTGCTCGAGTGTCCAGTCCCAAGGCCAAGGTCTTTACTATTTACACCAGAAGAACAAAGAAGGGACATTCTCTGTGAGGGGAAAGATGAGTGGTAAGTGAAGACCAGCGACTCTCAGCACTCTGGTGACCTGCAGGAGGACCCAGGGTGTCCACTCTGCTCTCCTTCCGTGCCCTGGTGACTCATTGGGAGGATCCAGGGAGTCCTCCCTACTCTCCTTCCATACCCTGGTGACCCACAGGAAGGATCCAGGGAGTCCTCCCTACCTCTCCTTCTGTGCCCAGTGACCCACAGGGAGGATCCAGGGAGTTCTCCCTCCTCTCCTTCCGTGCCACAGTGACCCACAGGGAAGATTCAGGGAGTCCTCCCTCCTCTCCTTCCATGCCCCAGTGACCCACAGGGAAGATCCAGGGAGTCCTCCCTACTCTTCTTCCGTGCCCTGGTGACCCATTGGGAGGGCCTAGGGAGTCCTCCCTTCTCTCCTTCCACAGTCCAGACTCTGTGACTGTCAGTCAGAGAACTGTGGTCCTGTATTGCCTCCTCTCTGGGATGCAGGGTGGGATTTAACAGCACAGAGAACACAGAATGGACTAGAAGGAACACATTAAAGCAACAAATGTCCCAATTCACATTGTGCCTCTCCGGCACTGGACAGACACACTTTCCTCTCTGTGATATCTTTGCTCGACTGCCCAGGTTCTGTCTGCGCCCCTGAAGGCAGCATTAGTTGCTCACTGCAGGTTGAGGAGCTGTGGCTCTACTGCATGGAGATAGCTTCTAGTGCTCGGCTCAGCTGCCCCGCGTGCCCTCTCATCCACCCTTCTCTTCAGAGTGCAGTGTCCACCGTCTATCACGAAACCCTCACGTCCATATAAGCTTAATCTGAGACGGTGAAAATGGGGATCCTTCTACGTATCCACTAGTAGGGAAGCAGATGTAGTTTGGTTTCTTTGTACAATAATTTATCTCTGCAGATATATATTCACCTGGCTACAGTTTGGAAACACAAAAAAGGCAACTTGCAAAGAAATGAAGACATCAAAGCCCCAGTGATCTTCAGCCCACTTTTCCTCAAGGACCCCTTCTTATTCTGCACAACACCATCCATTCTCCGACACTGGGGAGGGGGAAAGAGCAGCACTTCTCCCGCCTGGATGCCTACTCCCCTGCACCCCCAGCCCCCCACACTTCCTCTTCCACCTGGCTGCTGCCGAAGGGCCTCCATGGGACATGAAGGATGGGTGACAAGGCCTGAGAGGGACAGGAACACGAAAAGCAACCAACAAGGCTGGCGATTTTGCAGTCCTGTGGAATTGGAGCAGAGCCACAGCTTTAGAACAATGCTCAGTACAGACGTGAGTCCACAGCCCTG